CTGAATTTTACTTCATTAAATTGGTAATTTTTGCTAATAGTTAAAGGCAAGTAATTAGTTATTCATCTGTTAGATTAGTTATATTTTCAGTATAAAGGCCTTTGTAACTGTTTATTCAATAACAAGAATCACACTTCTTTTAATAGTGATGTATAAGCATAAAGATCTGACTTTTTGGTTCAATTTTTTGATTGGTGGTTGATGTGTAGAGTGTAAGGGTTTGATTTGGACTGGGAAGGGACTTTGCATTGTGTGAGCTCGCACTGTAGCATTTGCACTTTTTTTAGCACTGTTTGCTTGTTTGTGAAGAGAGAGTTGATTAGATTACTTTGCTATAGAAAGTGATGTAGTAATTGTAGTTGGAGTTTCAATCTCTATAGAAATTTGCAGCTTCGTTCTTGACTCTCTTTGATTGAGAATTTTTCATTAGATTTCATTAGCAATTTTAACACCAGATAGAATTGGACTCTTCAGTCTTTGGGCATTTTAGGTGTTATTTCACATAGGTTGATTGATGAGTCATCTCTCCCCCATTTCAACCCCTATCATATGATTTGGAGGGGCAAAAGTACCGTGTAAAAATATTCTTTAGATTATTGCTCGCGGTAGAGTAAATACTTGTGGTTCAAAAGAGGCCTAAAGTTAGTCTATCTCCTCATGAGTGTATTATGTGCAAGAGGGAGGCTGAAAATATTGACCCTTTTGGAGCTGAAAATATTCTTTAAAGCTTTGGCACAAAATGTCCATGGAAGCTTGACCATGCATTTTTATGGTTTCTGAGAAGCACTATCCTTTTGGTGGGGAAAAACAAGAACTCATGTGGAGTTGTAGTGTATGGCTACAGGGTTTGTATGGATGGAATGAAATAAGAGGATATTAACATATTCTAACAAATCATCCAAGCACCATCAAAACATATTGAGAAAAAAAAAACATTTTACCTTTATTTAACCTTCATGAATAGAGTGGTGGGAGAGAAGAAAAGCAAGGGAAAGGGGGGAAGTTTAAAGAGAGAGTCCTTATACCTAATATGACTGTTGTCCCTGAAAGGACCTTTGTGAACTTCATAACTCTTGTAGAATCCGAAGCTCTAGCTCCCATGATGGATTTTTGAGCTCCTTTGGAAATATTCTCAACATTCGAAGTTGATGATTTTAACTTATTTGAATTTGCATTATTGTTGGGATTGCTTAGGCTTTCAACTTCTTCCTATTTTAGAAGTAAAAGTATCAGTAGAATTTTCAGCCAATCAACTATGGCAAATGGTATGTTCTTTTCAAATTTATTGGACAAAAAGGATATCAAAATAAACCTCTAACGCCTTGGCTATGTGATCACTTGTATCAGCATCATTGGTTAGGAAGTTAAATCCTTTTTGCTGCAATCTTTCTGTCAAGTAAAACCTGATTGTGTTGGAGTATTGTACCTTCTAGATTCTTGGGAAAAAATTATGCATGTTTCGAATTGTAGAAAGTAGGGGAGTTTGAGGAGATGAGTAAAATTAAAACCAGTGCAGTGTCAGTTTGAGGGTCGAACGATCTTAGTTTTTGTACGCTAGGCCCCATTTAGCCTACTTTATAAATTGGCCATTTTTCAGTCCTTGCAATAATATTCGATCCATCAGCATCATCAATCCAAAAAAGAATTGTTCCAGCACATCAAGGTTCATATTGTAATTGATTTACTTCTATTTAATTGGGGGAGACCTTGGCCACATGCGGGCAAGACGGCCTCCTAGATCCTTCAAATTGGGAGGGCTCCTAATTTGCATAAACCTCTATACTACATATACACACGCATGTTATTTTTTTTTAAAAGGGAAATTATGCAGAGTTGGGAAATTAAGCCTCAAGCCTCAAAGTGAATGCAGCAACCAAAAAGCCTCAAGTGAATAATTTTGACGCAGGCTGCTATAGTTGCAGTAGCTTAACATCCAATATTTTGTGGACTAGGCCTTTTAGCGAGCTTGTACACTAGTACATGTAACATCATTCATAGACTTAGCTCCTTCTGTATTGGTTGATGGGTCTCCAGCATCATAAGTTTTCTGTAACAAAAATGCAGGCTGTCTTGGTGAAGGGACTGCTGCATCATAATTCCCTAACATGAAAACAACTGCTGACATGGTTGGCCGGTCAGTGGCATACTCTTGCACACACAAGAGTGCAATTTGGATGCATCTCACAACTTCGTTGACAGGGTACAATTCACCCAGAGATGGATCGACGATTTCCAAGACTTTACCTTCTCTCCACAAGTTCCAAACCTAAAAACGATTTTAGATCATCAAAGTTAGCATGAATAAGTAGGGGAAAAACTACATCGTTTTCCACAAAGCCAGTAAACTTACATGTCCAACCAAATTTGC